ATTGAGTTCCGTGGGAATGGAGGGTGGTGGCCGTCCTGCAAGGATCCACGACGTTAAATAGACTCTGACACCTTGAACCAACAATAGCACGCACCTATATCCTCATCCGGTCAGGCCACCATATTTTTCCTCATCACAACGGCCCCCAGTCTTGCTTAATTGGGAGTTCCGTTGATATTCTTGCCCATCATCTTTCTTGATCGGGAATTCCGTCCGTCTATTGCCATTAACGTCAACGCCACCACCTAATCACAGAACAATGGATTCACGTACCTTGTATATTCCCTGGCCGTCATTCCGCAAGTCGTTTGCCACCCAAAATTTTACTATCACTATCACTACACTTCATACATATTCCATATATCAATTCATAACGCTCGTAAAGAAAACTAAATATTACAAGTTACAAAGAAGGAGTGAGGCTGACAGAGAAAGAAAAGAACTATGTTAATACAACTCCCAGCGTTTGACGTACTTGTCGTAAATCACCTGGTGCTCGTCCTCGAACACAGCTGCAAAACCATCCCAAAGTTTGACCCACTCCTCGGTGTTCTTGTCTTGGAACCGGGTATGCCGTTCCGCTCGCCCTTGCATGCCCTTCGAGGTCTTCTTTAGTTGACCGAGAATTACTGGGGACTGCTCCCCCGCCTTGACTAGCTTGAACTTCACCAACGACGCCGCCTTCTCCGCAGCATCCTCAGCGAGATAGCTATTGGCCTTCTTCATCAAGGCCTGCCTCTCCGCCTTGGACATCGACGGCCCCGCCTCAGGTCGCGCCTTCTTTGCTGGACGCGGAGGATCGGGCTCGTTTGAGCGCTGGTCGGGCTTGGAGGAGCGGGCCACCGCTCTATGCCCCTTCGTCCGCGAGTGCGAACAATCCCGGGTCCCCTGCCCAGGACCCCCACCGCGTACAGGAGAAGGGGAGCGTGCTTGCTTTCGGCTGGGTGCCGTCCCTGTCCCTGTACCGCGGGAGCGGGAGCGTGAAGGGGAGTCGCGACAACGGCGGCATGCTAATGGGGAACGCGAACGGTGCCGGGAAGGGGAGTCGCGACGACGGCGGCGTGCCGAGGGGGAACACGAATGGTGTCGGCGTGTTGGTGGGGAACCCAAACGGCGCTGTGTGTCGTGTCCGCGAGAGTCTGAGCGATCGCGGCCGCGCAAAGGAGAGCGTTCGTGTTTCCGCTTCTGGACCGCGGCGATCTGCGTCTTTGGGGCGTTCTGCTTCTTCTGCTTCTGTTTCGGCCCCAAAACCTGCGTCTGGTATTTGGTGCATTCGTCCGCATACCGTAGGATTATGCCCGAAGTTGTAGTGATGAGGGGAATGTCTCCCTGTTCAGTCAGCGACATCTCAAGCTCGTCTGAAAGCGTTGTCAGCGCAGAGAACATGTGAACAGAGTATCCCATACCGTTGGTCCATGACACGATGCGTAGCGCCTTCTCTGCAATCTCTGCGTCCTCGTCGTCCGCGGGTGGGCAACCGTGCCGGACCTCGAGGGCATGTTTGACGCGGTCCAGGTCCTTCTCCGCAAACACAGTGAACGTAAACCCGGACTTTGGGAAGTGCTTACGAGCCGCCATCTCATCGTCCCAGTTTTCGATCCGCAACTGGTTTATGAATGCGAAGTTGCCCCAGGTCCCCCAGTGCATAAGCTGCATGCTTGACGCGGCCTCCTCCGGCGTGAGTAAACCGCGCTCTACTTGAATGGTGACTAATGCCGAGTCCGAAATATTCGTCGCCAGCGATATAGGAGGGGACTCACCGATGTCTGCCGCCATGCCGTCCCTAATAAATTTGCGCTCGGCATCGCGAAGCGCGTTGCCCGTGAGCCCTGAGGCACTCGGAAACACCATCTCCTGCTGTTGCTTCGTTTTCAGCACCGGCGATTTCCATTTCCAATACACTGCACATAAAGGTCAGGTTCACCGCGCTCAGGAATACGGGGATTAAACGTACTGTAAGTTCGACTCGTACTCCTTGAGCGTCCACGTCGTCTGACCCTGATGGCGCTATCTGAAAAGCTGGTACGCTTCACTCGCCCCAAAGGAGTTGCTCCCCCCCGCCATTGAGATGATGTAGCCAACCAGGTGGACATTCAGCTCCTTCCAAGCGCGGCTGCTCTGCGTATTGTTGTCAGCACACTAGGTCCACTTCAAAACACATCCTGGAACAACTCACGAGGCTTGCACACACCCTTCCAAGCTTTGCCATCTCCCAAGTCATTCCCCCATCCGTCAGGCGCCCCTGTTGCACTCTCTCTTCCAGGTGTTCATGCCACTCAGCGAGCCAAGGGACGTGTTCGAGCACCACCAACATCTTCTTCCGGTCTTCCGGGGTGAGATCTTCTAGCAGCTTGTTGTATTTGGCGCGGTCGAGCCTGCCCCGCTCTTCTTTTGTAACTAAAACGAGTTAAGCCTGAATTACTTTCAAATAACCTACTTTCAAACGCACCTGCTTTGTCGTGGACTTTCCCTCCTCCCTCTGGTGCGGGTGTGTACAACCAGGACTGGAACATGTTCCAGGCGCTGGTGCTCCTGACGTCTTTGTGACTGCCGTTGATCAAGCTTCAGAGGAGCGAGCTGGGTTTCTTGAGCTTGGTCACCAAGGCTTCCACCTTGGCCTCTAGGTCTTCTTGCCAGCCGAAGAGAAGGGCTTGGGATTCTTGGTCAATTGGCCCAGCCTTGTGGCGGCCGCCGGCTTTGTCTTCATCTGTGTCGTCAGCGTCGGTGTCAGCGGCTGCAACAGGCTTCTGCTTCTTCTTGAAGCGGGTTTGGGCAGAGGACGTGCCAGCAGTTGGCTTGCTTTTGCCCTTCTCCTTCTCTGACTTGGGGCGCCCCCTTTCTCCCCTGCTCGGCCGGAGGGGCGTCCTCCTTGGGCTTGCTTTTGCCCTTGTTATTTCCTCTCCTCCTGCCACCAACTTCTGGGTCTTCCATCGCCTCTGCCTGGAACTCGGCATCCTCCTCCGCGTCTTCTTCCTCTTGCAGCCGCAGATGTTTACTGCCGCTCGCGTTCCTTGATGAGTTCCCGCGCTTTCATGTTCGCTGCTTCCTCATAGTTGTCCTCGGTGGCATCCCCATCTGACTCCAGTCTCTCCTCGCGCACCAGTACTGACACAGCCGATGCGTGGGGGGGGGGGGGGATTACGGCGAGTCGGCAATGTGGTACGACTAGAGATGCTCCCCTATGCGTGGCTGACGAGGGGCGGGAGGAGGGAGGCAGTGAGCTCCGGCTAGGCCGCTGACACTGATGGGGAGGAAGGGAATCGAAGCGGTGTATAGGAAGGAGATCAAGACGGGGGGTGGGGGTGGAAGGATCGGCCACGGGAAGAGGAGCGAGAGCGAGAGGGGGGGTGAGAGGAGCGGCCAAGCGAACGACCTCGAGGTTGAGGCAATTCAGCGGCAGCGGCAGCTCGTCGCTCTCGTCACTTGGCAAATTCTTTCTTGAGTGCTGCTGTCCTTCCGTAATAACCGAGCTTGACAACAGGAGCCCCTGCAGCTTGGAATGGGCGCTCCTGGGCTAATCTTGCCAAGTTGAGTCTGGGGATGACGGGCTTGGGGATACTGAGTTTTGCTAGCGGAGCCGGCGATGCCCGCGGTAGAGCCGAGTGGTGGGGAGCGGGCACTGTCAGTGGCAGGGACTCCGGGGAGGAGGGCTGTTTTGGCGCCCTACGCATCAACTGGTCGCGAAAGGACGCCTCCGTTCCAGATGGGAGTAAGGACATCCGGAGTGCATTGAATTCGGGTGGGCACGGCAGCACATTCTATCCAAAGATAATTGATCAGTAGTCGTTAATTAAGCATGATGAAGATGTACGTTGTTCGCGGTTTGGAGAGGGGGGACCTCCATTTCAGGCAGCGCGACAGGGAGAGATCCATCTTCGGCCCGGAGAGTCGTCTGTGGTAAGGGATTTAGCATAAAATAATGATAAAGGCGCAAAGGAGGCGTACCTGCTTCGTGTGTGATTGCGCCTGCGCTGTGGACAGCGGTCGACCCTTGGGAGCCGGCACATCCCCAACGCCCAGGTCCTCGACGTCTTCCTGCTGCAAGGCGGTCAGTCTCATGGCCCAGGTGCGAGAAGAAATGCATATGTCTTGTACTTGTTCCTCTGCTTTCTCAACCGGCAACTCTTCGACCTGCGGCTTGTGTCTTTTCCCTGATTTCCTCGGGGGACCAAGGGAGATGCCAGGAACGGTAGGGACTTTCTGGCTACGCGTGGCGCGTCGTTCCATAGGGAAATCTGCTGTTTGTGCATTTGTGCGTAAAAAATGGAGTGGCGAGGTGGTGTTGTAGGAAACTGGATGGGTCAGTCAGATGGAGGGAAAGATCAACAAGAAGCGGTACCGGGAGAACAGTGGCTGCATTGTCCTGCAATGCTCGCGGCCACCCATCGCAGCCACCGATTACTTCTTTCGGGGCAGGCGCCTTGTCGCGCTTTGATTCCTTTTAATTTTAATTCCGACCATACTGGAGGTAGGTACGATACACAAGATACATATATTATATGAGAAACAACGAGATAGATGAAGAGATAAATTATTGCATACTACGCTACATTTCTACATTAGGATGGTGGTGGTCAGAAGCAAGAGGCAAATAGGCGCCCGGGACAAACAGCCGCACCACTTGATGTGACGGGTCTCGGCATTCGTCTAAAAGGCCGGACCACGTGACGTGTTGCGTCGCGCCTCGCGTCTGAAATATCTGAATAAACTGAATGAAGAAAATATTCCGCTGGAGCCGTAGAATAGCACCTATTTATCTGTGCCCTATGTAATACAATATATATGGTGAAAACGCAATGCGTAGGCTGAGAAAAATACATGGAGAAAAAACTGTACGCTCTGGGCATGACTCGAACATGTGCCGTGCCTGAAACACAACTGCCAGATACACGTTCATTCGGCACCGCTCTTCCAACTGAGCTACCGGAGCGTTCTTATCTCTGCCCCACTAGATTATATATTGTGAACAAGGAATCAGCAGACTCAATAAAAATAATGTATGCTCTGGGCATGATTCGAACATGCACCAGTGCCTGAAATAATTGTCAAATCCATATAATCAGTTGGCATCGCTCTTCCAACTGAGCTACCAGAGCGTTCTTATCTCTGCCCCACTAGATTATATATGGTGAGCAAGGAATCAGCAGACTAAATAGACCGATGCCCGTGTCGCGTCAAGACGGATGGCGCACTCCATGTTTGCCGTGCTGCATGGCCGCCATTGGCGGTTTATTATTCCCCTGCTTTTTTTTCACTGTGGATGCACTGGTATTATTTCTACATACAGGACATTGTGGTTGGAAGCAAGAGCAGAATAGGCGCCGGGACAAACAGGCGCCTTACTTGATGTGATGAGTCTCGGCAGAACTTCGGCATCTGATACGCCCACGTGCCCGACGTGTCGTGTCTGAATGATTCTGGGTGTACATAAGAACCACAAGCTTTACGACCCGTGCCTTCAGCACGGCCGACTCGCTGCGCTCGCGGCCGTCCCTCCGGCAGGGCGACAGCTTGTTGGGGCTCCGCCCCAAACCCCGGGGTGGGGGCTCCGCATCTCAGTAGTAAATTTCACAGTGAGCCAATGATCTCAGTTGTAGTTTTTTAAAAAAAAAAAAGAAATGTATAATAAAAGTGGGTACTTACTATCATATCTACATGAATTACCTGTGGTACAAATCAGCTCAGTGGATCTCTCTGGCATACACATGAAGCAATGTTTCTGAGTATGCAATATTCTTTGTGAGCCTGGTGTCGTCATTCTTAAAAGAACTTTGACTCACTGACTCGAAGTGCCTCGAGAAAGTGCTGTCCATGGACAAAGAAAGACATTGGTGCGGAGGTCCAGTTCAACATGCTCAGCAAGGCAGCTAGGAAACTGTTGATGCTTCATAGCAAAAGTGGATTCGGAGGGAGTAATGGTGATGTGTAGGATCAAAGCTCTTTTGCCATTGTGTTAGCCACCCAGAAGCCGAATCTCCAGTACATGAGGTGACATACATGTCAGAAAATCTTGGGTACCATTGCAAAGACCATTTGCCAGATCCAGATTTCGGAGAATTATGATTGCGCACCGAATTCTCAAAGCCAATTTTGGCCAAAGGCAGTCCAGATGCGCGGACAGAGTTGAGATATTCCACCGGATATTGAAAATCACTGTCAACTTCATCTTCTGTGACAAATGAATTGGCATGGTGAAAAATGAATTGTTTGCCTTGAAATTTATGCAGGAATTGGACTCATCCACATCATTGTGGGTCCCCGCCACTCTCTAAATTCTCGCTAGTAAATCTTCGTCGTCGTCGCTCGCTCGCACGGCGCTCCGCGCCGCACTCGCTCCCTCCTCCTCCTCCGAGCTCATCCACATCATTGTGTGCAGAGAATTGTGCGCTCCAAGAAGTATTTATCTTGATTATGGTTTGCAGGTATTGCTGAGATCCCAGAATAGATGGTGCCTATCTATCATGGATGGAACAGTGTTGCTAGGGAGCTTCATAAGTTCAGGAAGTTAGGACATAATTTTCATGTTCATGCCTTTGAGAGGCAATCTGAGCACACTGCGGAGTATGTGGAATTTTTTATGCAATTCAGAGACAGGCTACACAGAATGTAGTTCAGAAGAGCAGAAGACAGACATGAAAGAAAGATAAGATAAGATTTTGAAAGATAGGACAGAAAGCTGAAGTAAATACTGGAAATATAAAATCAGAACTTGAGAGGAGGGCAAAATATATGAGAAATATACCTAAGGCAGGCAAAGAGGAGATGAGGGGATAGATGCAATGCAGAGTGATAGCAGGTCTTGACAGATAGGGGTAAAAAGGTGAACTGCAAACTCAAATCAGAGCTTGGGAGGACAGCAAAATATATAAGAGAAAAGCTAAACACACCTGAGGCAGTCAGAGCAGAGATGAGAGGCAGAGGTAAGCTGGGTTAAATGAAACCCTCGAGGCGGGCTCGAGGAGCAGCGCAATCGGCCGCTGCGCGGCAGAAAAGAGGGTGCCGCTGCGCGGCAAAAGGGTCACCTGACTATATCACTTGACTATATCAGGTGATTATATCACATGATATTATCAAAGTGGCTGTGCCGTCCTCTCTTCTTATATAGGATATAGGATGTGCTCAGATATTATACATTGAAGACGTGTTAATTACATGTAAAAAAATATTATACAGCGTTAATGTGGGAACGTTGTTGGTAAAACCTCGCCGGCCTTCTCGTCTTTCGCCAGGCACAGGTGCAGAGAGTGGAAAAAGACAGGGCCGGACCCATTCACACGTATGACTGCGACGACGTCGGGGTCAAATTGATGGGGGATGAGCGGCTGTGTCTGCGCGTACTCGCCCACTAGCGACATGTCCTCTGTCACATCGGGGCCGAGAACGACGACTCGCTGGATGCACATCAAGATGTCCACTCTGTCCGTGTCTCACTGCAGGGGTTAAAGAATTTTTAGAGCTCTAAATACGCTCCAAGACATGTCAGCTCTTTTGGAACTAATCTTTCTACTTTGGAAAGATTAGATAAAAGAGAGGTCATGGTTTCAATCCTGGTTGGTGCCAAAATATAATCCCTTTTTCATCCTGGACTGGTTTTAAAAAGATGACTAACATTTCCCCTTCTGGTTTGTTTGGAAAGATGTCCCATCTTGTAGGAGATCCATCACTTATCTTTTCATGGCTTTGTTTGAACAAAGAAAACAAAACATAAGTACTGTACGTCCCTGTATTGAAGCAACGGTCACGGTCACGATGAGGGCCGTTGTGTTGCAAATTTTTGGGGCGGTCACGGTCAGGATGAGGACCGTTGCCTCAGAATTACCGTGACATGCATGAGAAACATGCCCCCAAAATCTCAGCTAGCAAATTCGGTTATGGTGCGAGTGAAAGCTCATTCGAACTCAATATAGCAGGGTAATAATGGTTGAAGATGTATCTCACCGCACCTGATGGTTGCAAAATTTTGCAACGGTCACGCTCACGGTCCCATCCGTTGCCTGAAAAAAAGGCAACGGAAATGTCACGGTCCCCCAGCCGTTGCTTCACTACAGGGACGTACAGTAATCTTTACAAAGAAAAGATATCACACATTTCCTAGGAAAATGTTAGTGAAAAGATTGGTCATCTTTCCAGAACCGGGCCGGGATAAAAAAGTGATTATCTTTTGGTACCAACCAGGATTGAAACCATGACCTCTCTTTTATCTAATATTTCCAAAGCGGGAAGATTAGTTCCAAAAGAGCTGACATGTCTTGGGGTGTATTTAGAGCTCTAAAAATTCTTTAACCCCTGCAGTGTCTGCCCTCGCAGGTTTGATGCAGCTCGCGGGAAACCCGAGCGGCCGCCGCTTTGGGCCAACATGGTACACAGTGACTGACTTCCTGAGACTACTCTCTGTCTGACCTTCCATCAGCAGCAGAGTCCCTCTGGAGCCCTCACAGGCGACCAGCGTATTGGAAAGCCTGGGGATATCCGGCTTCCCCTTGAAACCGTGAAGGCCTTGGATGACTACATCCGCGCGCTTCCCCACCAGACCCGGCATTAGAAGCCACCTCCCATCCAGTTCGCCAGGAAGGCGGTGCTCTTCAAACTGGAGGGCTTGTTGGCGTGCTGCCTCCTCGAGGGCGAGTCTTTCTTCTTCCTCTGCGGAGGCGTTGGCGGGAATCCAAGGCGGCGTGACAGCGCGCGGTTCGGGGGAGGACGGGGTCATCAGGCGCGGAGCGTACAGTTTATTCTCGCCACGAACGATCAATATGACATCCCCAAGGAGGAAGTGCCTGTTTATATCTTCCATGGGAACGTCAATGTGCCGGGTCCCGTCTGGTTGCATCTTGGACGGCAACGCCTCGTCGAAATTTGTCTCCGCTGGAAGTGCAACGGTGACCTGCGGGCCATCGATAGACACGAGCCGCCCGATGGCCCCACAATACAAAGCGCCAGAATTGACGCGCACACTGTCGAAGATGTGGAGAGGGGGCAACGGGCTGAGGATGTGTCGCACCCTACCGGCGACTGGACATACGAAAGCATCTTCGCTAGCGGGAAAGTGGGGGCGGAGCTCGCACACACGTTCGGACCCGCCTCTTGGGCCGCGTAACTCCTGCATCTGCCGCACATATGCCGTCTCTCCGCGACGCTCCCCTCCCACAATCAGGACACGATCCCCGGCCTTGAGAGCTTGGCTGGGGCCGGACAACGGCCGGCGCTGGAGGGCGTCGCAGCGACTTGTCCGGAATGGCGCAAGTTTATCGATACTTGGACTGACTTGAGGATAATCCTTTTGGTACAATTCCTTGCCTAGTTTGTTTGTCCAGCAAACATCTGGCGCTGCATCCTGCTTCTTCTTTGCAGATTTCGCAGTCTGCTGTCTCTTGTTTTGGGCGGGGGCGGGGGGTGGTGGTATGTCGCGGGCTTTCGCCATGAGTAGTTTTTTCGGCCCGAGTACAAACACCAGATGACCCTAGAACCGAATCCATGAGCCGGGAACAACAGTATTCTCGTTCTCGGCGGGGAGCAACAACTTGAGCCGACCTTCCATCTGACTCTGAGTCTCAGCTCTCAGTCCCGGGCGTCGTACGAGCGCCGCATTGTCCTCCGGCGGAGCTGAGTGCGAAAAACGCGAGATACCCGCTTCCTGGGCAACAGAGGCTGAATGGTCGGGGGCCTGGCTCTCGAAGTGGGCTGCAATTCCTTGCAGGCGCTCAGCATCCGCTTCCTCGTTGTCATCGTTGGCGGCATCGTGAAATGGAGGGAGGTTGTGGATTTGCGGAGGCATATTGTCGATAAGTTCTGAGCAACAGTCTTCAGAGATACGAGATGTCCAATCCAATGCGGGCATACGTACCGAGGTCAGAATCTCTTATTTCCTCATCCTCATCCTCAGCTTCTTCCGGATCTTCGTCGGAGTCAGAGGCGACCGTGTCCAGAAACTTTGATATCTTCCGGAATATGCGCTCTGCACGGGCTTTGTCGCGCAGTGGGGTGGCCGTTCGGAGTCGCTTGGCTGCGGGCGGAGGAGAGATTGAGGAAGGTCGGGCATGCGCTGACAACTGTGTCAATTATTAGAACGATAATAATAATAAACAGGAAACGGGGCTTA